TTATCATTACTATTATTATCATTATTAGTTGTATCATTATGATCATAATCATTATTATTATTATTATATTATACAATTTAAATAGATATATATATAGAGAGAGAGAGAGAGAAAGAGAGAGATGGGGAGTGGGGGAGAGAATAGTAATTACTTAATTCATCTATTTTACAAGTACCGTTGAGCAAGTACTCCTATAGACTCTCCCTCACACAATATTCATGATTAAGCCCAAAATATTGCAATACCGAATTCATCTGTTGGCGTTTGTTGTTTCCATGGATACCACAACACACAGGATAAAATACGCCTTGGCGAAATAAATTTTTAATTGGAGTTGTCAAATGAAATAATGGCTGAGTGACTTTTTAAACTTTTAAGGTACGTCTATCCTTTTAACGGATGAGCTGTCTATTGACTGAGATTTCCACATATTTGAAAAGTGTCAAAACTAGTCATCACAGCATCATTATGAATTAATGTTGACCGATTTTAGGAAATACACGTGAATTGACTCTCGTGGCATATATAGTGGCATTGTGTGCAAGGCCCTGCACTATTAGTTCAATATCAAATCGTAGCCACGGTGTATACGTTTATTTGCTGCCTGTTTTAGTTCATGAAATAGATGAATTCGTTATTCTTTTTACCCCGATACAATGAAGACATCATTATTTTTTTTGTCGACATGTTATTACCCCATATATTTTTGCTCTGTAATTTGCTTTTATTCTCTTTTTCTCCTTAAATTATTATGTTTCACTCTCTCTCTCTCTCTCTCTCTCCCTCTCTCTCTCCAATTTTTGTCGCGTTGGCTCTTTCTTTCTCTCTTCCTCTAACCATTATATTTTTGCTCCGTCATTTGCTTTTATTCTCTTTCTCCTTACATTAACATGTTTCTCTCTCTCTCTCTCTCTCTTTTCACCCCCTCTCACCCCCTCTCACTCTATATATCTCTCTCCCTCTCCCTCTCTCTTCTTCTATCTCTCTCTTCCTCTCTCTCTCCTCTCTCTTCTCTCTCTTTCTCTCTCGCTTGACTCTACATCCGCATGCTCTCCTATCCTTCACCTTTTGTTCTCTCTCTCTCTCTCTCTATCTCCATCTCTTCCCTGCTCGCCCCTCCTCACTCTATTCTCCTAGGCCTGTAATCTCTATTTCTTTCTTTTCTCCCGCTCCTTACCACTCCACCCTTTCTCGTATTACATACACACACACACACACATACCTTTTTTACTTTAAAAATAAAAAGGTTTTTTATTTCATTTATTTTAATTTCCAAACATATAATAAAACAATATAACATATAGACATTTTGAAGAGCATTGTTAGTAATCAGTTTGAATGAATTTACAAACTAACATCTTAATAATAAACAACAGGACGTAGATCATAAAAAAGTAACAACTACGTAAACATTTACATAATGTACAAGAAATGTACACACACATTTATATTACACGCACAACCTCACACACACAAACACACCATTTTCTCTCTTTCTCACTCTCCATCTCTCCCTCTCTCTCTCTCTCTCTCTGTCATTTCATCCATCAATCAAAATGCAAATTCTTGAAATGTAAATACCGAAATAAAAAATTACAGAAAGAACTTCTTTCTTCAACGATTGAAAAAGAAAAAGGTAGTTATTATATCTAATTTACTAAATGCTCATTACTCCAAATAATCTGATTGCACTAGCTGGATGTGTCATTGCCATTTATTGTAGTAACGCCTTTTCCTAATTATCTGCTTTTAGATCTCTTTGTTTCCACTCCAATTCGCTCTTCCAATCATCATTTGTCCGTGCATAATTTACATTTTAATCACATTGGGAACAACATTAGGTCTTAACCCTAATAAGGCCGGGGCCATCATGCCCCCCCCCCCCCCCCTCGTCGATTTTCTGATTGTTCGGGAACGCATATGGATGGCGCCCCGCCGCTCGCTGACTTTTTTCTTTCGAATCTTGCGCATTTAAAAAAAATATGAAAATCGGACCTATAGTTACAAGGTCACGTGACCTTTTGTCTTTGCTTGTCAGCCCGAAAATCGCACATTTTTGCGATTTGTGTACAAAACATATGGAAATGTCATTTTCCGAACAGTAGATCAGACATTGGTTACTGGGTCTTGTTTAAAGTTTAGGTGGTTGTTTTTTGGGAGTCAAAATAGTTGAATTGTAGTAAGAAATGAAATAAAACAACAACAAAACCAATACTACTTTACTTTAATTCGTCACTTAGACGAATTAGGTGATACGTATGATAATGGTCTACATAACGAATAATGCATTACACGATATATTATTTTGTAAAATGCTTCTCCCATTCATATGCTTCTCCCATTATGATCTATCATATGTCAAGATAAAATTGTGTCTCCTTGATCATCATGGATCTAGGGAAGATAGATTGAAACAATATATGACCTTTGACCCTGTGCAGTAACCAGTTACACATTTGACTCTAATTTACATCATGAAAAACACCTTTTGACGATTTTTATCTTATTCAAAGAAATGAAAATGTAATTGATAAATGATTATCATCATTATGATAATGATGATCATGATGATCATGAGCGCGATCATGACATCTTATTGAAAAAATGAGGGTTGATTTAGATAGCATATAGTCTCAGCTACAACATACTAAAAAATCAACAAAATCCAAGCCGAAATAACGGCGATATTGCTCGCAAAGACAGGAAACAGTATATCTTTTCAAATGAACAAATCATTGTTCATTATTTAGCAAAAAGTGGGAAATTCAATTTCACGTCTTTTAAGCATTATTTTCATTTGTTTAAAGGTCAGAATTAAATTCACTACCCTTTTTCATTTTGTCAAAGCTTACGTTTATATAATTTCAGCTAATTTGTTTCTTTTTTTAAATAAAAAGTCTCTCACTCGGACAGGTATCTTTGTCTTCACAATTGTAATACCTGGAAATGCAACACAATATAGTCACTCAATGAAACGCAATATCTCACATTGATATATTGCGTTCCATTGTCATTGAGTGACTTTATTGTTTTGCATTTCCAGGTATTACAATTGTGAAGACAAAGATACCTGTCCGAGTGAGAGACTTTTATATATATTATATATTATATATATATTATATATATATGTATGTGTATATAATGTAAAGATAGTCATATCTTTGTCAAGTCGGTCAGATAATATTAACTTGTCAAGTCAGGTCAGATATTTTATCTTTGTCAAGTCAGGTCAGATAATATTAACTTGTCAAGTCAGGTCGGATAATTTTGTCTTTGTCAAGTCAGGTCAGATAATATTATCCTTGTCAAGTCAGGTCAGATAATTTTATCTTTGTCAAGTCGGGTCAGATAATATTAACTTGTCAAGTCAGGTCAGATAATATTATCCTCGTCAAGTCCGGGTAGATAATTTTATCTTTGTCAGGTCAGGTCAGATAATATTATCCTTGTCAAGTCCTGGTAGATAATTTTACCCTCGTCAAGTCGGGGGATTATATTATCTTGTTCAAGTCAGGTCAGATAATAGTATCCTTGTCAACTCCGGTAGATTATTATCTTTGTCAAGTCGATGCAGATCATGTCAATTCAAGGTAGATACATGTAATATCAGTTTTGTCAAGTCAAGGCAGTTATTGTCAATGTCTAGTCAGATCCCACTGACAAGGAGAAATAATCTGCGGTTCTCCTCGCAGCTGCTTGTTGATAGGTCCAGCTCGGCGATCCGTCCAGCTACCCGAAGTCCGACTCTAGATCTGCCCATGCCGCCGTCATTTTTCCAGTTCTGATTTGTTGCGTTTAATTGAAAGCTAGAACGAGTTCACAGTCTAGAAATCAGGCCCGATTTGTCTTTCGAAGGAAATATAAATCAAACGTACACCTCTGTCGGTTATTTTGGGACTGAATAGATATGAATAATAACAAACAAGACTAAGTTGAAGCAGCTAGGGAGGCGGTGTACCTGGTTGAAGCACCTATACATTTATGCTGTCAACAATGAAGCATCTACGTACCAGTACTTCACACTTTTTACTATGTACACGCGCGCGGCGACGCACGCTGTACTGTAATTGGTCGCTATTGTCCTGCTTGTCAGATTCTATTGTTCAGGTGCGAATTAAGGCTACCTAATCCCTTGGCTAATTTGAATCACGAAAGTCTGTAATCAGCAGAGTGAATTCATGTTGTTCTATCGGCATGGCATGTGTGTGTTTGAATGGGGGGGGGGGGGGGGGGGGGGGGGGTGGGGGGGGGGGGGGGGGGGGGGGGGGGGGGGGGGG